ACCTTCCAAAATTACACAAAAATTTGGGACGATAATTGATGGGCCAATTTGCTGCAGGTTGAAACACATCTATATAATTTGTATGGAAATGCAATATCCTGTGTTTTATGTAGGTAACTAACATATATTTTTTTTTATTTAGCTTTCAGTGTACATATACAACTACTCGTATTATAAATTATAATTTAAATAAATATTATATCATAAAGTATTACATGGGTCGGGTATAATGAAATAAATAATGATGCACTGAATTTATTAATTGAACATATTAATTTTGAAATGTTTCCTCTTGTCACCATCTTGTCACCCATACTACTGTTGTGCTGTGTTTTTGAATTTAAAACCATCGAACAGCAGATATCTAAATACGAAAACCTATTACCCAGATACCTCCATGTAGTGTCAACGTAGTCGTTCGTGCCCCAGAAGGCCAGAATGTTGACCATTTAAAATATGCAGTACAAGCTGGGATATTATATACACGTTGATACGTTACATAATATATTATTATTTCATTTGCAGGTATGATGTTTTTCGTGCACACACGACAAAAATGTATAGAACATATTTACGACTATACAAGTTTCGTGCTCTATACAAATACAAAAGAATGTTAGAAATGTATATACAAAATAATATACCAAGAAACATATTATAATTATGTGTCGCGTGTGCACTATGCACCGCAGTTTGCCAGCCAGGGACGGGTAAATATTGCCGTCAGTTGGCCTCGAACACGGCCCGAAAATTACAATGTATGTAATATATTATACAATTTTTAGAACCGTGAGAACAACAGATATTATTACTAAATGCTATTTTTTTTTTACGGCTATTAAATAAATCAGTACATAATATATTGTATTACACTGCTGCAACACGTGCGTGATGTTCGAATATCGATTTATTGCCGTTGTGCATATTGGAATATTATAATATATAATTACAATTTATTTTTACAAAATCCATTTACCATGACGTATTATAGATTACCATTGTGCCGTGTAATATAACATGTACAAGACGAAACAAAAACATTTGAGCAATAATAGGTACCACCGCATCGGTCCCTCGTGCGTTCTGATATTATTTTTAAGTCGGCCGTCCCACTGCCGCCGCCGCCGCCGCCGTTACATTATAATATTCAACTATAGTTTGCCCATCCCTGCAGACGTACGGGATGCGGGAGTCGACTATACAATATATTATTACACAAGGCACATACATATATATATATTATATAATATATATGCGTGTTATTCGACATCGGCACGTCGAGAACAACTATGCATCATTATATGTATCAGGGAGGTAAACAAACCACAGTCGGTGAGTATACTTCCGCCGCGAATGCCGATTATTTTTGACGTATCTGCAGTATTTCAAAGTGGGTACCGCCGCCTCAAGTTATTTCCAACGGTCAGTGTCCGTCGTTAGCGTGCACGTTTTTATTTACATTATTATCGTTATGACACTATGGCCGTCGGGTCGGGTTAGCTATTATTATTATTATTATTATTATTATTATTATTATTATTATTATTATTATTATTATTATTATTATTATTATCATCATTATTATTATTGTGGCGACGGCGCTTCATACGCGACAATAAATTACAGTCCATTATAATATTATTATTTTGCTCCATACACTTATTTTATACCACCCTCGAATGCCCCGGTGCGCCATCCGTCGTAATACACGATACCGTTTACTCGTTCTCACTAACACTGTTTCTCTTTCTCTCTTTCCGACACGCTATCGGTTTATAAATGAACATCTATTATAGGTACGCAAAACAGTGAAGCCGGTCTAAAACGGAATTTCGCTGACGGGACTGCGGGAAAACTTAGAATCGAGAAGTTTCCCGACTAGTTGAAAACACAAGAAATATTCCAATATAAAAAAAATAATAAGACGCGTTTAACGAGAGGCGTGCAATTGAAAATACAACAATAAACATGTAATGACACAGATCGTTGATCAAACATGGTTGTTCAAATGAACAACGATGTATGTAACGATGTAAGGTTTCGATTTGATGCTCATTATTTTACTTCTTATCATGTTATAATTTAAAATTTAATGTACAATATAGGTATTTACCGCCTTTACGGCTTTACAAAATACAACTTCATGAAACCCAGATTTAAATCGATAAAATAACGTTAGTCGTTAATCGTTAGTCGTTACCGATGTTGGCAATTAGCGTATCTATTTGATAGCACAAACTGTTATACAATATGGATAAATAGATTACTCAGATGTTGTATTTTTGATTTAATAATACTACAAAATTACATACGGAAGAAGAATCACTCAGGGAACACAGCCCTCACTCAATTTACAAATTTATACTAAATTTTAAATTTACATAAGATAAGATAAATATGTAAATTACATTTTAAAAAAATGTGAGTACTGTAATTTGGATAAGCAAATAATCATATTAATTAATGTAAATGTAAAAAACAATCAAAAATTTAAAAAGAGCTAAAATCAGTGCAGCAAATTGCTATAGTAGGAAACTTGGTTATATAGGCTTATATAGGATATGGGGGCCTCCTTAAATACAGAATTTAAACCATTAAATTAAAAATGTATAGTGATGCTATAAAATCTAGAAAAAAATAATGATAACAATAAAAAATAATAATAATAGCTAGTACCTACCTACTATTGTTTTCCTACGTATAAAAATATTTAAAAAAAATAAATGATTTTTTCGAGCCTTTGTTTGAAAAAAAAAAATTCTCAGGGTTTTCTATGCCATAATAAGCACTGCGCCCCTCCTCTCCACAACTTGGATGAATTCTGTAGTCCCTTACTGTTCCAAAAAATGATGACAGAAACAAAAAAAAGAAAGATCACTGCATAATTTGTAAAACCAATACATTCATTGCTCAATCTCAAAAACATGAAGAATAAATGTCCGTAATTAACTATATACTCCGACAATAGCATAAAAATTGATCCTTCTAACACATAGGTCAGTGTCGTACCCACGGTTCTTTTTTATTACATTATAATATGTTTAGGTACCTATATTATATACTATATAGCATATATAGTATAGAGAAATCATGATCACAATTTAAGTGTTGCTATAAAAATTGTATGCATATATTATAATCAATAATGTATTATTATTAAACCATTGATTCAATAATTTATTTATTTTTAAGCATTAGAAAATAAGTTCTTCTTATACATTATAATAATACAAAATTATCTATATCTACATAATATACAATGGGGCATTATGGTTTATTGTATATTATTATATATATATATATTCACTTTACAATTATGAAAACTAAACGTCTGATCATAACTACATTTATTGAGGTTATAATAAGTATATTATATAGAATCAATATAAATTATTATATGAAACCAGTACTCCATTTCTTTTTGAACTATCTAAATAGTGAAATAATACGTCATTTTGGGGATATATTGTATAGACGTAAACTAGTATACATCAGAGAGATTGTAGTATATTCGTGTATCCCTTCATTAACACTCAATAGTATACGCCACTGATTAGGTCTTTTTAACACAAATAAATACCTAGTGAATACAATTGTATGCTATAGCACTATATCGGTATACCTAATATTGTTATGAATACTATAATAATTTGTATTTTTTGTTATATTGATAAATTATGTATAATGTTAGGTGCATATTTTAATATTAAAATGTGTTTTGATATTTTGAACACTAATTTATCAGATTATCTATATAGCTATTATGTATAATTATAATCCTGATATATTTCATAAAAAGAATCTTGATATTATAAACACGTTAAATAAAACACAACACTCTGACAGTGAGTTAAAGCAAATGTTATGTAGATCACTACAATATTTGGGAATCGCAATACAGCAGTCTGCTTCAGTGCTACTACTTTTCATGTCTTATCTACTGGCACAAAAATCCATCGTCGTTACCGGCCAATAAATGTTATCAACAATATTATTCTATCGACTATCGTATATAGCATATTACACAGTATGCATTGTCATTGTAATTTTAAGTCGCGGACCATAGTGTGTAAACAATGATAATCACTAATCGTGGTACAGACATTTCAAATTTGAACGTGAGCGTGAGTGCGTGACGTCTCTGAAAAAAGTATATCAAATGGAATCATTCATTTACCAATTAATGCCCGTTTTAACGTAATTATACGGGTTTATTTTGTCAGAGTCAACTACAAGTTGAGAAGGTTCGATTTCTCATCAGGTTTTCTTGTTTTGTATGGGTATATTAATATTATACAAATGGCAAATGGGTGACGTATTCGAGTATGTGATTATGATGTTCGTAATATATATATAATTATTATAATTTATGCATATCCTAATAAACTACTAAATGTGCAAAATATCAAACCAAGTTTGTATATTTGTATAGAAAAAAAAAATGAAAAATGTAGAATCAAACCGGTGGGTCGAAGAAATATTCCTATATATTGTATGGTTTTTGGGTTTATCGTTTCTTATTCAGGGATCATCATTCTTTAGACTGCCAAAGAGACAGGTTTCACGGTATTAAATCCGAAAAAGAGGAAAAAAACAGTTGCCGACATGTATGGGTATTCGATGAACAACGAAGACGCGACGTCGGTAATTCGGTATTATTTATTATTATTATTATCATTTCGATCCGCGGACGAGTGTGAGTGTGCATATAACGGTGGGGGACATCGCCGCCGCCGTGGCCGGCGAGCGGCAACAGCGGCGGCGGCCGCCAGTTGGGCGCCAACCGACACGAGATCGTTTCCCCCACTACCTCCTCCCCCCGATCATCGCGGAAAGAAGGCTTCGGCGGCGGTGGTACCCCGGCCCCGACGGCCGCTCCCCACACCCCCCGCCTAGACGGCCGCTCCCCCCGGCCCGAACTGCCCCTCTTGAGCGTTCGACGCGCGGAACAAACGCCGGCAATTCACCGGCCGCCGCCGACACGACTAACAGCCGGCATCGGGTCGCGCCCGCACGCGCACATCCAACGCCCGCGTTTTGAAATGATTATCGTTGTACGGTTTTTTGTCCATAGAGTGCTACGCACAACCACGCACGCCGCCGCTACACACTACTTTGCGTACTCCACGGCAGCCAGCCAGCCAGTCATTCACTCGCAGTCGGTCGTCCAGCAGCAACGCCGGTGATACCGTTGTACCCAGCAATACGTTTTTTAAATAGTCGTTTTCGATACGTGTAATAAATAAATAATATCGTGTTGTTCGAAAATAACCATAAGACGCGTTTCGCCGGGCGACGATGTTGCGATCGCTATAAGCGCCAAGTCTCCTGATTAAATAAATTATATATTTTTTTTTTGCCGGTCTCCGCCAGAGAATTTCCATTTGATTTCCCCCGTGTCGACGGTAGTACCCGCAAAAACAACCGTCCATAACATTCTCGCTTTTCGCGTCCGCTCGACGGTCGCTAGCCGTCGTTTTCGTCGCATAGCACAAGTCGTCGCTGAAGTAGCAGTGGCCGACGACCGGTAACGCTCTCAGCATACACTCACACGTCGCGGCGGTAGTCGACCCGGACGACCTCATCAGAGGAGAAGCACATTGCGGTTAAAGTGCAGCGACGTTCTGCGAGTCGTCACAGGACAACGTTGCGCGCCACTGCGCGTGAACCATCGATACCGACAGCTCCACAGCGTCCTTGCAGAGGTTGTTCGCGCCGGTGATTTCAGTGGAAAAGTACGAGACAGACGTAAAACAATAATAATACCTAGTACATAGTTTTAGGTGCACAATAATAATAGTAATAAATAATAAATATTAAAAAACGAAATTTATTCCATCGCTGTGCGTGCTATACCGCCGCCGTCACCGTTATTGTCATTGTGTTTACTCGCCCACAAGGTGTTCGATCGGCAACTGCCGTCGAGCAAAACACCTGCCCGTCCGTCAAAAGAGTCGCCGGTGAGTGCAGACAGTATTGTCGGTGTTTCTAAACCTTTGGCGAGATCGACGGCGACGACTACGGTTTACCACCTACATACCTATAAACTTAATAATCTCTTGACTCGTATCGCATTCATGTAACAGCTCGCTGTGTGTTTTTTTAGCAGAAGCAAGTTTTCCCGACAAAAAGAGATGACTATGAAGGTGGCAACGACAGCGGCGGCAGTGGCTACTGCGGCAACCCCCCGGAGGAGACGAGCCAGCGGTTTCGCGAGGATGGCGGCTTTTTTGTTGGTAGTCTCCTTCGTTTTGGCCGATGTGATCAGAGTCTGTGAGTATCGCTATTATGGTTTAGTTATATTAATAATACGATTCACAGTCGTGTATCTGAAATACATCAGTCTATATAATAATATACATAATTTTATACTTATATGTGCCTATTATGGCGTGTCCGTGTATTACAATATAATATCGGGTTACCCGGTCCCCGGCGGGTAAGATAGGTGCAGATGGGGAGGCGGCGAGAGATCCCTCGGGGCGGCAAGCACCGTTTTTTTCCCATCTACCGCGTGTTCTTTTTTATTCTGCTTTCCGAGAAACTCACGAATTCCGAAACTGCTGTACACAATACAACGTTAATTACATTACATAATGCGATTAACTCCGTCGCCGTGTTTGTTGCTGCGCGGACGCGTGCGCGCGACGCGTCTAAAACACAATATTGTTATTAGAGGAAATTGTTATCGCGTCTTTAAAATGATGCTCCAGCCGGTAGTCGGAGGCGTTTTAAACAATATTCTTATAATATTTATTGCAGCACACGCACACCTGCTGCTGCTGCTTCTGCTGTTGCCGTTACGTAGTGTACATACCGATAAAATAATATTATATTATTACATTACGACGGTTGTTATAGGCGGATTATATGTATATATTACACATGCGCCTTATACGGAGTTATGTGGTTTTCGGTAGTCTTTACGGAAAATTATTACGACGAACCGTGTATAATCTAAATAGCCTTAGCGTCGAGTCGGCGTTCCGATTACAAACGGCTCGGCTGAGGAGATTCTCACTGGATCCTGACCGGACAATCTCGTTCCGTTTATTTTCCGTCTTGTAACATTTTGTTATAATATGCTATTACCTACCCACCAACATTAAAATATTTTAACCGTCGCCCCGGGTTCTCGCAACGTCCCTTGCAGTTCACACACACGAACGCTCAATCCATTCCTCGCGTCGCCGCGCCCTTTCTTTCCCGTTTGACGGCCGTACTCACGACTATTAACCGCCGCAGCCACCCCTTTTCACCGCCGCCGTAGCCTAGTTTTATTTTTATTAGAGTAGGTACGCGTCCTCGAAGGGCCCACCATCGCCGCCGCTGTTGCAGGGTTTGAAATGTCAAGAGTTTATGTTCGCTCTGGCAGCGGCCTCGTGTATATTATTATTATTATTATTATTATAATATGTGCGTAGTGACTAATGCGTTTTTTTCCCTCGTTTACCATGTGACTTATGAGCGGTCGGGGAGAGAGGTTTTCCGCGCGTACAATAATGTGTGTGTTTGGTGTGTATAATAATATGATGTATGTGTCTGTGCAGAGCGAAAACGAGGAACTCGTCAAAACGGGTCGATCTATAAATATAAGGGGGTCGGGTCTCCCCTAATCTCTGACGACGGCACTGTCGACGACCCCAAGCGGCCCGCAGATTTCATCCTCTCGCCGCCACCGCCTCCGGTCTATTAATAACAATATAACGTCGATCGGGTAATGTGTGCATCGCTGTCCAAACTCCAAACTACACACACACACACACATACATAATATCGAACCGCTTTTATTAAATAACGTGTGGAATCGTGGGGACTATATTATGTATTATAGACTGAATGGTTTCTCCTTAGACGTTCCATTGCACGTACGCAATCGGCGTGTGCGACGATAATAAAATATAATTTTAAGTAGCTTTTATTCGCTTTGTACTTGTTGTGTAAGTAGAGTTTTTTATCTCGTCGTTGCTTAACATGATTATGTAAAGTTCAGAGGAACGTAGACGTCAATAATGCCAACAAAAAAAAAGCACATAGGTAACCGCCAGCCGAGTACTCGCCAGCATTAGAAACTAGGGTGAGGCGGGGGCGCAAACAGTAGTATGCCGCTAGTGGAAATCCGCGGTGGCACTGGTGACTTATAAAAATAGTCGTGCTGAAAAAGTACGAGTGGGGGGGTGTGGTGGAGTAATCGTTTTTCGCGTAGCACGGTAGACGGTTGTGCGTCGAGAGTGTACTACCGTTGGCGGCGGCATATAATTATATTATTAAAGTTGACCCGTCTACGTAATTACGCGATAACGACTGTATTGCGAGCGTCTCGCCTCGCCAAGTCGGACCATCCATCCATCCCGTGCAGACCAAGACGGCACTAAAAATACCCTCACGGCAAACACCCACCCACATGCTCGCAAGCAATACGCAGTAATAACAATAATATTTTAATGACAATAATACTCTCGGTAGACAGTTGTAAAACAGTAAACGATAGAATGACCAAAAAATGTGCTTACCGCCGAGCGGCTACGGCGGTAATATTTCTGTGTACCCGTTGCACCACCGTCAGCCGCTACCGCGTGCACCACCCGTTAACACCCGCAACCCAAGGGACACCGTCTCCTCGTGCTCTCGTATAGAGTGTAGTTGCTACGACAGGAGGCCCCATGTGAAAATATGTAACGCGCTTGCTTTTGTGTGTCCCCGTTGTCTTATACGCTCTCGCACACACACACGACATACGTGTATTTTTTAGGCTTGGGTGTGCGTATTTTTACGACCGGCCGGGCTTATATTTTGTATTTATTTTTTATTTTTTTCCCGATTTTATGGCCGCCGGAGGGCACTCCCCATATTAGGGAAACGGGCACGAGGGCACGACGGTCGGAGTGGAAGAGTGAGTTGTAGCCGTCGTAGTAGTCGTAGTCTCAGTCGGCTATTATTATTCGATTGTGTACAAAATATATAATGCAGCGTGTAGGTAATAACTAATAACGGTGGCCCACCATCGTCGCAGTCACCGCGTTTTCGCATAACATTATTATTATAATACCATTCGATACAAAATCATTTACAAAATGTTACAATAAAATAGTTTAATATTATAGTCAAAACAACAACGGTCTCGGAGAGCGGCCGCCACCGGCGTCGTTCGAATTACCGTATTATTATTATTACCAGTTGTGTGTACCTTCTCGTCGAATCAAAAGAAAACGTACATACATAATATCATTATTATTATACACGAACACGATCGATGGTTTTTTTCTCTCATGATAATTCATTGCCGCATACGCACCACCCCGCTCGATGATATAGGTACACACTCCACGTGGGCGCTTTTCATCGTCAATATTGAAGAACGAGTGCATTTTTATATTCAAACTCATATTGTTACATAGTTGATAGTAATACGTCATATTATATTATATACGTCAACGGCGGTGATGAATCTTCGGCGGTGGACCTGCTCGTGTGTTGACGTTGATTGTGAGGATGATGGAGGGGAGGTGGCTTGAGTATTAAAAATAGCCGATGCAGGCGGCAACTTCGCATCCAACGTCGGCCGCGTTATTGTCGCCTCCACTGCATAATATCGTCGTCCACGCTGCTGCAGCAGCTGCTACCGAAACGCCGCAGCCGCCGCTGTTTGTGGTGCACCGGAAAAGAGTAACGACGGCGGCGGCCGCTTCGGAAGAGGCGTACGCGCGTTTGACGTGTGTGTGTGTGTGTGTGTGTGTGTGTGTGTGTATGTGTGTGTGAGTGTGTGTGCGTGCTGCAGCAGAAGGAGAGGCGTTGCAGCAGCTGCCTCGCACTGGAACTGCGGTCCGCTGCCGCCGAAAGCAAAACGAAGATTACGCGCGCCCGATCCATGTAATGTGTTCAACGACGCGTGAGACAAGTCACATAAAAGCTTTTTCCGAAATTATAGAATTTATTATCGTTCGTGTATGTGTCATTGGATATCGTACACCGAAAACGGTTAGAAAAAAGTAAAACTAAAAAAACACCACGCTCGCAATGTACGCGTTTCACAGCAGCTGCTGCGGCGACGAAGACGAATGTTGTGCGCGCAGGACTGTCGACGGTCGACCACAGTATAACGAGTGGTCGACGATTATTATTAGTATGGTTTGTCTGCGGTATTATTAAAATACGCATACAGCTCTTACCTCGACGTACAAGAAGAACCACCGTGTGTGTGATATTATGTATAAAATGATATTGTGTTGTATAATAATATTATAATATGGAGAATAGAGAAAGGAGTGTCGCACTGTGCCGAGCCGTCTGAGCCCGATCGCCCATCGCCTTCGTATATGTTCTCGCGTTTCGACTGCTTTCCGGCTTTCCTCCTACTCTCCCCGTCCCCGCACTGCCCATTGTTTTTACAATAAGGTCGTCGTCGTCGTCATCGTCGTATTTGGTCCTGCCGACGATCGTGTATTACACACGTGGTGGTGGTGGTCGTTGTCGTTGTCCTCGCCGAACGATTCTTTATTATTGTTAATATTATTATTATTATTATTATTATTATTATTATTATTATGTATACGTAATAAAATTACAATCGTTACTATAATGTAGCCGGACCGATTGTCCATATGTCCGTCTCCCTTTGACTAATTACAACGATAACGATAATCTGTTGCGTTATTACAGCATTGCGGCGACTCACACGAAGGGGAAACCTGAGACAGTCTTCTATCTATCGTCGATTTGAATAATAATAGTCATCGTTCGTGTGGTATACATTATAATATTATATACAAACGCGTTGACCACAGATTATCGTCCAGTCCGCATAGTATAATCTCGTTTGGTGTATTATAAGTAGGTACACATGCGAGGACGACGGTATATAATATTGTCGTATAACACAGGTTCTCCTCTTGTGGAGGACGGTCACGACGGCGACGACAGCCCCCAAACACCGCGACTTCACCGGAACACCGTCACCGTCCCGTCCACCCTCAAAACCTATTGTCTTACAACGATAATGTGTACCATTATTATTATTACTTGTTATTCGTCGTTCGCCACCCACAAACCCGCACCGGCGGCGTGTCATATACACACGCAATCGTACCCAACCATATAGCAACACCGTCGCCACGTGATCGCGCATATTTAAACGTATTTCAAAATAATATTATACATATTATGTTATGTTTGATTACGATCTCCGATGTGCCTGTCGTGGGCCAAGTTTCGTTTCTTTGTTAATTTTTCTTTTCGTTTGAAATACAACCAATACGCGACGCACCGCGTATTGT